GAACACGTTTCGGACGGGTCTGGCGAGTCTCTGTCATTTTTGTGAGGATGTCGATAGTCCATCTAGTCAGCAAAGCGTCGCTGAAAGTTGGCAGGAGTGTAACATCGGAGCTGCCAGGCAGTTAGAAAAGGGCGGGACGCGAGCAGACAGCTCCATCGAGAAGATTAAAGGAGCAGCTTGGCCTGTGATATCTCAGCCCGACCTTAGCCTGGTCTCATTCAGGGAACGTTTTGTGCTCAAATTTTCTCGCCGCCAACAGCTCTTTTCGGTATTATGGATTATGTAAAATGGAAGTTCTTCCGTGTTGGAAGAGCTTCGTCGTACATTTCGTTGTTGTTTTCCAGCTAACACCAATGGGATCAATGCTAAATCTTCAGAAAGTTGGGGGGGTCAGCCTTCTGGCCCTTAGTTCCTTCGCCCCTGCCAAGGGACGACCAATCCGCATTCCAACAGCCCCCCAACCAATTCCACAGCGCCACACAGTGCAGCGCCACCCCCGCGCGGCATGACGCACTTCCACGAGGGTCACTTCACTTGACGCACGAGGGTCAGAACGCTGACCTTTCCATCCTGGGTCCCGTGGGTATATGAATTGGCGACGTTTGAGTGTTAGTTGCAGGCGGCGCTGTGCGGAGTCCGCTACCTGGCCGCAGCAGCCGGCCGGCTGACCTTTCGAGCTCGCCTTACCCGTGTCTGCCGAGGCGGCGCCGGGTCGGTCGTGCCGCTGCTGATTAGAGCATTCGATTGGTTATAAAACACCCAGAGGCGTGATACTCTTCGGCGAACTTGGCGCACTGCTGCCACCATCATTTGGAAAATCTTCGTTGGAGTGAGAGAAGGGAGGGGGGGGGGGGGGGGAGGAGGACTGCTACGACGCAGCTGTCAGAAATGTTATGCACGAAGCTTTCTTCAACTTCAAGAGACTTTTTCAAGTGGCTGCTGGAAAAGCGGGTTAAACTGCCGCTAATATTTGTTTAGAGCATCTACGCAGTGTTGCCCCGCCGGAAATCGATTTCGGGGACATCCCAAAGTGTGGACGTCGCCCTGATGCAATCAATGGTGACTCTATGACTATTGCGATTTGAACAACAAGCGCACCGTACCTCCACTGAACGTACACGCTTGGCGCACTGGCGCACTTTAAGATGAAAGCAAGCACGCACGGTGTTCGCTTGCACTAAGACATGACGAGAACGCCACACTGGGGATTGTGCCCGGGGCTGAATACCGCTGCCAGCGATCCAGTGTCCCAACTAGGCACCTACAGTGACTGGTACGAAGAGCTGGGAGAACGCACCAGGGGAAATCAGCGCCAACAGATCCAATTGGTACGGGTATTTGATGAGCGTGTTCTGGTACACGATAGAGCAAATACCGTAAACGCTTCAAAGTTTGATCTAGCGAATTTTAGGAGCCCAGATGAGCCCAGGAGATATGAAACGATTTCATTCAAGCCCATTTGATGCAGTCGGGTATATGAGACTCATAGGTGCGGGCTCTATAGCTTTATACGGGAGGGAGGGGGGGGGGGGGAGAACAACGTTCTCTTAAGTCCGGCGTCAGGGGCACTGTAGTTCATAAAGGTGAGAAACAGAATACCTCTGAGACCCAAGGCCGTTAAGCTCTCTTGCTTTGCTGAGGACCGTTGATTAAAAAAATGAATCAAGTTTATGATGCTGCAGAAAAATGCAAAAAACAACTCACACGGACAAAACGCATTAGAGGCATGTACTATTTCTGAACCATCACCACCATTATTAACGTGATGATTAGCGAATGCACGCTGGGATGGCACCTGGACTTAAGACTAGGGCTGCTTCTTTTTGAGATATGGAAAGCAAGCGAGGGAAACCCGCGCTACACACAAATTTGAAAACCTGTCCTGACCTTTCTCTGACCTGTCTCATGGCTCTCAAGACACCTTATTTTTCATTCCAGGCACACATACTTGACCATAGTCATAATATAAGGGACACCACAAGAATCTATAACTCTACAGCTATCTATTTCTTCACCTGTTGTTCCAACATCCAGCGAAGTTATTGTATTTTATTATTTTCAAGATTTGGAGCTTTGTTCATTTTGAAGAGACCGCTGAAAAGAAATGCCTGCAATCCTCTTGGTCCAGGCATGCAATCCTCTTTGTCTGAGACAAATCCTTTTGGTGTCAAGAGGCTATCAATATGGAATGGCCAGGCAATACCTTGGATGGAAAAAATCAAAGAACTTCGACCAGCAGAAGCATGCAAAAAAAGACGGAATGGACACTTGGGTCATGTGAGATTTCCTAGTAGATCTAGCGAGCTGAAGAGAGAGAGATAGAGAGAGAGAGGAGAGAGAGAGAGAGAGAGAGAGATAGAGAGAGAGAGAGAGAGATAGAGATATATAATAGGTGTGTGTGTGTGTATGGTGGAGGGTGTGTGTTGGTGGGTGGTGTGTGGTGTGTGTGTGTGTTGTGTGTGTGTGGTGGGTGTGTGTGTGGTGTGTGTGTGTGTGGTGGTGTGTGTGGGTGTGTGTGTGTGTGTGGTTGGGTGTGGTGTGTGTGTGTGTTGTGTGTGTGTGGTGTGTGTGTGTGTGTGTGTGTGCGTGTGTGTGTGTAAGAATGCCTCTCGTAACCAAACCTTGGAAATCAAAACCCCAAAGGCAGCAAGTACTTCAAACCAGCCAAGTTGTCAATCCCACAAAAAAACATCAGTAAGACAGTAGTATTAGCCTTATTCCCCGGAAAAACCAGAGAAATAGAGATATAGTTAGGTTGCTATTTCGGCAACATGCTTTTCTCGAAACAATAGCAGAAGCGAATTCAAAATTCCCTGCCGATGGTCCTACTCGATTTTTCAGGTTATTTTTTTTCAAACGGCAAGCCACAGTTTTTACTGGACACCAACATTCAGAGGATGAAACAAAGATCGATTGCCAGTCATTACCAAGATACAGTGTCTATCTAAGAATTAGAATGCCCGGACATAAGTGTACATACAAACGAATTCAAGCAAAAAGGCATCACGCATCACACGTCATTCAAACATAGAAGCGAGTTGAAGTAAACAGGTATTGAACATCGCGCACCAATTATACATGCAAACGGTTTCAATTAAACAGGCATCGCACATCACGCGACAGGCATTACTTGCACACGTTAACGATTCTAAGCTGGCACGCAGCACACATAGGGGCACATATCACGTCTGCATAATTGGCCATGATGAGCCCTGTATGTTAAGATTTGGTCGCCGACTTTT